CCCATGGAGCAGGGACTCCCATGGAGCAGGGACTCCCATGGAGCAGGGATGCCCATGGAGCAGGGACTCCCATGGAGCAGGGATGCCCATGGAGCAGGGATGCCCATGGAGCAGGGACTCCCATGGAGCAGGGGCCTCCAAAGAGGAGAACCATGGAGCGGGGATGTCCATGGAGCAGGGACTCCCATGGAGCAGGAATTCCCATGGAGCAGGGATGCCCATGGAGCAGGGATGCCCATGGAGCAGGGATGTCCATGGAGCAGGGACTCCCATGGAGCAGGGACTCCCATGGAGCAGGGATGCCCATGGAGCAGGGATGTCCATGGAGCAGGGACTCCCATGGAGCAGGGACTCCCATGGAGCAGGGACTCCCATGGAGCAGGGATGTCCATGGAGCAGGGATGCCCATGGAGCAGGGACGCCCATGGAGCAGGGATGCCCATGGAGCAGGGACTCCCATGGAGCAGGGACTCCCATGGAGCAGGGATGCTCATGGAGCAGGGATGCTCATGGAGCAGGGATGCCCATGGAGCAGGGATGCTCATGGAGCAGGGATGCCCATGGAGCAGGGACTCCCATGGAGCAGGGACTCACATGGAGCAGGGACTCCCCTGGAACAGGGACTCCCATGGAGCAGGAATTCCCATGGAGCAGGAATTCCCATGGAGCAGGGACTCCCCTGGAACAGGGACTCCCATGGAGCAGGAATTCCCATGGAGCAGGGACTCCCATGGAGCAGGGATGTCCATGGAGCAGGGATGTCCATGGAGCAGGGACTCCCATGGAGCAGGGACTCCCCTGGAACAGGGACTCCCATGGAGCAGGAATTCCCATGGAGCAGGGACTCCCATGGAGCAGGGACGCCCATGGAGCAGGGATGTCCATGGAGCAGGGATGCCCATGGAGCAGGGACTCCCATGGAGCAGGGACGCCCATGGAGCAGGGATGTCCATGGAGCAGGGATGCTCATGGAGCAGGGACTCCCATGGAGCAGGGATGTCCATGGAGCAGGGATGTCCATGGAGCAGGGATGCCCATGGAGCAGGGACTCCCCTGGAGCAGGGACTCCCATGGAGCAGGGATGCCCATGGAGCAGGGATGCTCATGGAGCAGGGACTCCCATGGAGCAGGGATGCTCATGGAGCAGGGATGCTCATGGAGCAGGGATGCCCATGGAGCAGGGACTCCCATGGAGCAGGGACTCCCCTGGAGCAGGGACTCCCATGGAGCAGGGATGCCCATGGAGCAG